CAACCCCAGGCACAAGCACAGCCCCAGGTACAAGCACAGCCCAGGTACAAGCACAGCCCCAGGTACAAACACAACCCGAGGCACAAGCACAGTCCCAGGTACAAACAGCCCCAGGTACAAACAACCCCAGGTACAAGCACAGCCCCAGGTACAAACAACCACAGGTACAAACACAGCCCCAGGCAGCAGCAGGCAAAAGAATAGCCCCAGGATGTTTGATAATGCTATTTAGCCAAAGAGAGAAATGGTTCACTTAGTCACTCATTAACCCATTCACCCAAAGCTCATGGAGCACTGACCACATAATGAACACTATGCTTGATGAAGAAGCGCATACCCATCTAAAAAAAGCTACAAATTTATTATATTTTCATTTTATTTATTTATTTGTGCGTGCGTGCGTGTGTGTGTGTTGTGTGTGTGTGTGTCAATCACAGAACAACCTGCAGGAATTGGTTCTCTCCCTCCACCATGTAGGTCCTTCAGGTGGTCAGGCTTGGGAGGAGATGCCTTTAACTGTGGAAGCATCTTGCTGACCCTAAAAATAACGTAAAATTTATTGTTATTCTATGTGTATGAGTGTACTGCCTGCATGTATGGAAGTGCACCTGAGTCATGCAATGCCCATGGAGGACAGAAGAGGGCGTCGATCCCCTGGAATTGGAGTTATGGATGGTTGTTGGCCATCATATGGGTGCTGGGATTTGAGCCTGGGTCCTCTGCAAGAGCAGCCAGTGCTCTTAACCACTCAGTCACCTCTCCAGTGTCCCTAAAAGTAATTCTTGTAAGTAGACTTCTCAAGGTATGTAATGAGCAGTTCACACGACAACACAAACCTAAATTCCCTTTTTCCATCAGCATCTTCAAGGTCAAGATCCATCCCGTGAGCATCTCCAACTGCCTCTGCAGTTGTGCCTGCATCTGTGCCGACCTTTGCTGCCCAGCTGCGGGGCTGGCAGCATTCAGTTAGCTAATGCTGAATTCTAGCTAGGTGTAAGGCTAACGACGGTAAAGGCCAATGGATGAAACTCAACTCTTTAACTGCCTGCTGACAGCAAAGCTGGGTGGCTGCACTGAAACTGGCTCTTGCACTTGCTGCCAAGTCAGAAGCAGACGGCAAGACCGGCCAGCGCTGGGGGAGCAGTGAGGAGGGCAGGGTGACAGGGTCTGCAGCAGCGGGGAGGGCAAGATTACCTTGCACCCAGCCACAAGGTGCAGGTCTGAGAAAGAGACAGAGGCTGAACATACAGTGACCAAGACTGGACCTCAGGAAATACTTCCAGACTTCAAATCCTCATATTGCTGCTTCCTATCTGGGTGACCCTGTGAGAGTTGCTTAGCTCTTTTGTGTCCCCATTTCCTTATCTGTAACAGGAGTAGTAAGAATAGTGTTTACTAGGTGAGTTGTTAGGAGGCTTACATCATTTCTAAGTTCTTAGATCAGTATAGGAAATAAAATGATCACTTTGTAAATGGTATAAGAACATTCATCAATAGGCCTTTGGAGGCCAGTGGTCTAAATGAAAAAAAAAATTATCAAAATTCATCATTGCCTCACAAGAATTGGGGTTTGTGCTCATACAGCAACTTGTGTTTCTGAATCTCAGCTGCCTTGAATGTAGCAATGCTGGCCTGCAGAGCTGTGGCTTCCAGCAGGCGCTATAGCCTCCAATTATGACTGAGACTCATAAAATATTAACTTAGCCTGAGTATTTTCAATCACACACAGCCCTGAGGACAAACAAGGCAGCATGCCCACCAGCACTGAATCCAATCAGTGATCCACATTCAACCATGGCTGTATAATGCGCACAACAAACACACCCAGCTTATTTTGATGGAAGAAGTGGGGCTAATTGGTCTGGGTTTCAAGTTCATTTATCAAACCAGGGTAACAGTCTATAGTGTATGAGATTGGGATCAACATTGGAGCCTGAATGGTAGGAGTCTCCCAGTTATCTCACCTATCTCTGAATATTTTTCAGAGAGAAAAAATATGTAACTTCCAATGCTCTAACGTTAACTAGAAAAGGTCAAGGAAAATGTTCCAAGCTCTTCTCGGGAAGAGTTTTATTCTGTTCTACCAACACCTGCCAAGGAAAACAAGTGTAGTGCTTATCATGTAACATTAGAGGACTAAGGACAGAGCACCCACAACCCTCTGGGTGGGACCCGGCACTGAAGGCGGCCCTAGGGAGACTGCAAACAAGGAGCTCTCACTAGCTCTCCAATCGCAACCCTCCTAACCCTGCTTTTCTTTGTCTGGAATGGTTCCTCCCCCTCCTGACCCACAAAATTCCTGTCCGTTCTTCAAAGTAGAGCTCCTTATGCATGATTCTCCCGACTCCTTCTACCACCCTCATCTTGATTCTGCATCCATCATGTTGAATCTCAGTCAAGCCCTAACACCATTGATGAGGCACCCCCATTCTCCCACAAGAGTAGGGAAGTCGGGTGGTGGTGAAATCTCTCTAGGACAAAGGTGATTTTCTTATCCTTCATCACACATGGATCGCAACTCTGAAAACATTTCCCAAGTCTCAGTTTTGACCACTATACATGAGGCTTGTTTTTGCTGCACTGGTGGCAGAAAATGGGCAGCCCCTTTGTGGCTGGGTGCTTAGGATCTTGCCCTCATTGTTGCTGAAAGTACTTGCATATAATTGGCTGATTTAACACTGCTTATGGCATAGCCAAGAGCTCTGTTCTCTCAAGGAAATGTGAGAAAGTAACACTTAATAGTACCATTACCTGCTAAAGTCTTTTCATCCTATCAGCAAAAGCAGTGAGTTGAAAGGTGCTAGATGCTGGGTTACAAATAAGAGAACTGGGAGCCAGGCATGGCAGTACAGGCCTGCAATTGCAGCACCTGGGAAGCTGATGCAGGACTGTCATGAGTGGAAAGGTCAGCCTGGTATACACTGTGAGTATCAGGTCAACCAGGGTTATACCCTATCTCAACACACACACACACACCACACACACACACACACACACACACACACACACACACCACACACCACACACCACACACACACACACCACACACACACACACACCACACACACATACCACACACACACACACATACCACACACACACACCACACACACACATACACACACCACACACATACCACACAACACACACACATACACACACACCACACACATACACACACACACATACCCACACACATATTCACACACATACACAGACAGACACATACACACATCCACACACAGATACACACACACGTACACACACATATATACACACATACACATACACATACACATAGTCATACACACACACATACATACATACATTAACATCCCCACACATACACACACATTCACACACATACATACACACACATACACACACACATATACACACACATACACGTACACACACATACACATACACACACATACACACAAACATACAAACTCACATACGCACACATGCAGACACCATACCACACACACCACACACACACACACACACACCACACACACCACACACACACACACACCACACACTGCCCACACACACACACACACCACAGACACCATACCACACACACACACACCACACACACACATACACACACCACACACATACCACACAACACACACACATACACACACAGGCATCTGCATACTCACACACACACACACCACACACACACACACACCACACACACACCACACCACACACACACACACACCACACACACGTGCTCATGCGAGGGGGGGGAGAGGGAGGAAGAGGAGGATGAGGGAAAGGGGA